CCGATTAACACCGAGATCACGCCAGACCTCTACGCGGACGTCGAGGTCGGCTACGACTCGGGCACGTACGAGCAGCAAGACGTAATGGTTCGGAACGACGCCGTCGCGGCGTTGGCTTCGGCGGACCCGCTTGCGCAGCCCGATGCCATCTTTCTGCACTTTGATCAGGTTGACGGCGCGGGTCATTCTTACTCTTGGGGGAGCTCGCAGCACTTGGCGGCGATCGAGAACGTCGACGCGCTGATTGGCGATATCCTGCAGGCGCTCTACCAGCGTCCTGGTGTGATGGCGCAGGAAGAGGATTGGCTGGTCCTCGTCACCGCCGACCATGGAGCAACCCGAGGTGAGTTCGGTCACTACGCCGCGCAAGGCCTGGAGAACTGGGAGGTCCCGTTCATCATCAGCGGGCCCAGCGTCGAGGCCGGGGTCGCGATGCCGCAAGGCACGCTGCGCGACGTCGCGGCTACGGCGTTGTGGCACCTTGGGGTCGATCCCTTTGTTGCCGGCCTTGACGGGACCGTCCGAGGCCTCGACTACCCCCCAACCGGCGACCTTGACCAAGACGGCGATCTTGATCTCGACGACTGGGCCGCATTCTTGACCCGTATTGATATATNNTACCGCTCACGGGAGATCGATTCACCGACTACCTCTTGGGCGATCTCAATCGCGACGGGTCGCGTGGCCTGAGCGACGCGGTGTCCTTCCGCACTCTCTTTGAGCAGGCGAATGGCCTCGCACTCGACGAAGCGCTCCTGAGGGCAGCGCCCGAACCCACGGCGTCCGCGTTGATGATGTTTTCACTCCTGACACTCAGCCTCAACTCCTTCCGTACTCGTGATGATTGAACTCTTAAGGCCTTCCTGCGTCTTGATCATCGCGGCGTTGTTCGCAACGTCTGCCGAAGCACACCAAGGGCCCGACCCGGTCGCGCACTGGAGTTTCAACCCCCGCAATGTCGTTGATGGCGTCGTGAAAGCGTCGCTTGGTCCGGCGATCAAGCTGCCGACTGGCGCGAAGGTCGTCGCCGATGGCCCCGGCCACGCCCTCGACATGACCGGCGATGGTTCCGCGTGGGCGACCTCGGCTCCTGTCGAGTCGAAGGAGTTGCCGCGTGAGTCCCTGACGGTCGCGGCTTGGGTATCGATTGACGAAGCCGAGGCCGAAGGGGGCGTGATCGGCACGGTGGGGTCCGAAGGCCAATCGGGTTGGCGCCTCGGCTACGACGACAAGGCCTTCACCTTCCGCCTCCGCACTGGTGATGGCGAGACCGTTCTCGTCGGCACGAGACCTTATTCCAAAGGGCGGTGGTTCCACGTCGTCGGCGTCTACGACGGCGAGCGGGCCGAGCTCTACGTCAACGGCAAGCTCGACGCTGAGGCCCGCGTCTCGGGCGGCGACCTCCAGTACGGCGACGAGACTCGCTACGTGCTCGGTTCGACCGGTGGGCCGAGCGGCGCCTCGTTGCGTGGGCGGCTGTGGGAGGTAAGCGTCTACGACCTCGCCGCGCGTTCGGAGTGGGTCACGCACGCTTTCGACCACCTGAAGGGTTTGGTGAACTTACAGCGTGACGCCCGCAGCGACGCGCTGACCATGGTCGTCGAGCCCTACCTGCAGTACGGCACCACCGACGGGATGACCGTCATGTGGCAGACAACGCAGCCCGGCACGTCGATCGTCTACTTCGGTGAGACCGATCAATGCGAACAGTCGGTCTCGAGCGACGACGCCGACATCCACGAGGTCCGCATCGAAGGGCTCGAGCCCGCGACGATGTATTTCTATCGCGTCGAGACGACCAACGACGCGGGCCAGAAGGTGGCGAGTGGCGTCTCCACTTTTGCCACGGCTGTCCAGCCAGGGACGCCCTTCGCCTACGCCGTCATCAGCGACACGCAGTACAACCCCGTTGTTTCCGGCAAACTAAGCGAGCACGCCTGGGCGCAGCGGCCGAGCTTTGTGCTCCACTCCGGCGACCTTGTCGACACGGGCACCAACGACTCGCACTGGACGCAACACTTCTTCCCCGGCATGCAGCCGCTCATCTCGCGCGTGCCGTTCTATTCGGTGCTCGGGAATCACGAGCAGAACGCCAGCAACTACTACGAGTATGTCTCGGTCCCGGCGCCGGAGTACTACTACGAGTTCCGCTACGGCGACGCCCACTTCTTCATGATCGACACCAACCGCAATGTCGGGCCCGATTCGGAACAGTACCGGTGGCTCGAAGAGAAGCTCGCCAGCTCCGACGCGAAGTGGAAGTTCGCCAGCCATCATCACCCTCCCTACTCGTCGGATGAAGACGACTACGGCAATCTCTGGAAGCAGAACAAGAGCGCCAGAGGCGACCTCCGCGCGCGGCAGCTTTCGCCGCTCTACGAGAAGTACGGCGTCGACATCGTCTGGACCGGGCACATCCACTCCTACGAGCGGACCTGGCCCGTGAAGGAAGAGGCCGCGGTCGCCAAGGACGGGCCCATTTACATGGTGGTCGGCGG